CCACGAGTGAATGAAGTTTCGTTCGGTGAGTTCGCCGGTGGAAGCAGAGAACCCAACATCAACCCACTCGGGGAGAATTCCCAAGAGGTCAATCGGGTAAGAAAGTGAAGGTTTGGATAATCGCGTTGCAGTTTCGTTGAAGGACCAAGCCACAAAAAGGGTCTTGTTAGAAGCAGTGTAGGTTACCAAAGCGTTACATTTCTTCCCGAGATTTTCGTCGATGTCAAACTTTCCATAAGTCGCAGATTTGAGAGAGTTATCGTCTATGCCAACGTGCTGCATGGGAGGGTCAATCGAACCGTTAAATGTGTCAAACTCAACAGCGAGAATGCGATTTTGGGGAAGTAAGCTATTGAAAGTGCCATTGAAAAGGCCAAAAGTGCCACCTGCGCCGTTTGGAGGAATCTGATAGCCTTGAGGGGCTATATAGAAGGCGAAACCGTCAGCGTAGGAACCTGTTTGATCGTTTCCTTTTTCAATAGAAAAGGTGAAGCGTGTGGTAAAGTCTGTTACAACTCTTGAAGAGGAATCCCAAAGGTGCAAAGGTTGTGCAGACAAGGCTCTCCCGACACGGAAAAAATATGAGACTATGTTAAGGTCTACGGAACCGTTCCTTGTTCTGCCGTCACCCATGTACGCCATGTTTTTTGCACTCTCAGGGTCGTCGAAGTTTGTTATGTTGAAATTTAGTGATTCTACAGTTTTAAGAAAAGGAGAAGGAAAGGCTAAGAGTAGAACAAAAATGGTGACCATGTTTAGAAATCTCATTCTCAATGGCAGTTCTTTTGTCTCAACTTTTGCTAGAGCTAAGAAATTCATCTGGAAACCAAAGAACCGAAGTGGATATGTTGAGTAAGTGTGTTCTGAATTTGTTCACGCAGGTTGCTGCTTAAATAAAGTTTAACTCAACATAGTAATTTTTCTTTTTAACAACAGTAATGTCAGAAGGAAGTCTAACAATGGTTAAATACTTCTTTTTTCTTTAAGAAAAAATCGTCAGAGTCTAAAATTCTAAAAACAAAAATATAAAAATAATAATAATAAGTACTTATTATTAGAGATTAAACTAAAGAGGAAGATCAGATAAAAACGTTTTACTGACTGAGTCTAAACATTTTTGTGTGTGACTGGTCTTCCTAGGTTGCATCCCAGATACTACGAATGTCGTGTACTGCACTCTTCTTTCAATTTTCAATTTTTGTGTTCACTTGGTAGTCAAGCGTAAAGAAGGGGAAAGTTCGGAGTGAGACAGCGTGATTTAATTTAGACACTCTGATATGTTGGTTATTTTATTGATTTGTTTAAATTTATTTTTAAAATTTTTTTTGAAACCAATTAATTACAAATCATTATGTTATAAAAAAGTTGTTAAAAAATATTTTAGTATTCAAATCAAAATAATCTAATTAGTAACATTTATAATTACACGTGTTCATCCTAAGAAGAGTTGTAATTTTTAATAATTAGATTAGCGAGATTTGTTTGACAAATAGGTTTCTTTTTATCAGCAAATATATTTTTATATATGCAAATCTCTGAAAAAAATTACAATTTTATTTATAATATTATAGAATTTTATTGATAAGTATTTGTTTCAAATATAGGTATCAATCTCTTTATGTCATATATTGTAAAAAAAGTACAATGTAACAACATGCGATATCATTTTGTTGATTTATTTTCCCTTGCACTACAGACAACTTTTATATCAGATTTTTTTTTTCTTTCGGAAAACATACTGTTTATTTATTTAATTACAGAAGTTAAAGTGAAAATTATAAACATACACTTTTCAATTTTTCTACACCTTTCCCAATATCTACTAAAAAAACAAATATTTTTATTTTTCTATTTGATTTATCTTAATTTATTTTATATTTTAAGAAAAAAAAATACTCTTTTATTAGTGTTAGATGGGTGTGTAGACTAGAAAATATGGTGTTTGTATATCATCACCCATGGAAAAAATGTGTATAATAAATATATTTTTCTTATTGGAAAAATAAATTAATTTCTTAAAATTTAAATGAATCTTTATTTTATCATTTCATTCTAACATGTTATAGATAGTTTTTTATAATTATATTATTTATTATCTATTATCACGATTTAAAAATAACTAATATTCTGATAGCTGCAACCACCCAATTTAAATATAAATCAAAAGTTAATTTCTTTAGAATGAAAAATAGTAATTATGACACTTAAGTTCATTAAATAACTAGAACTATATATATCTATTGAGATGAGGCTTAAGTTCAAATGAACATAAATTGGGTTGAGAGGGTCAGAATTTGCTTATATTTGAATTCAAAGAAAAATTACCTAAGATTAATTTATTTTTTATACGATATTAACAAATAAATCATCATTATTTTTAAGTTATAATAATAATAAATTTATTTTATTAAGCTTCTGTTAATATTTGTAATAAATATTTATTTCACAATTCTATCATTATTTAATAAAAAAATATGTTGATGTAATCATAAATAAAATAAAGTTAAATATTATATTTAGAAATTCTATTAGTGTTTAGTGAGACATATTTTATTTTATGTATTGATACATAATGGTAAAATTAAAATATTATTATTCTATATATTGAAATTTGTATAGCACGGCACCTAATTTATGTCTTCTTCTCAACCTATAAAGTATTTTGGTTTCAAACGTTATTGACTGAATTAAATGAGGCAACGTAATGCAGAGGAAGTTTCACAATAGATAAGTAAGATAATTTGGTTTTGATTATAATTGAATGAAGTTAGCATAGAATAAGCCAACGATCGATGCAATTAATTTAGGAGTGTAAACCAAACTCGCTTGACGAGAAATGGAGATAGTAGTTGGGGCCCACGCTAGGGTTTTCTTTTTTCAAGCTATGAAAGTTTCCACTAACCTACTATATACTAATCTCGCTTAAATTTATTTGTTTTGTAAGTCATAGTTGTAATTTTTAATGTTTTAGGAACTATGCTTTCGACAATATGCAAAATAATTCCAACTAAGACATTTTTCTAAAGATAATTAATTGAATTATGGTTCATGTTATTATATACTTCCAAGCAAAATATTTCCTATTTTTCTTTCGAATATTTTAAAGAATAATGATATTTTGACAACATTTTTTTTATAACTTGTTAACATAATTTACGTGTTATTATGTGATTGGTCCAAAATTACTGCACAATCAATAGTAATAATCATAAACACCAATATAAACCAATCACATAATGACATATAGTGATATTAAAATGTTGTTAAAAAAATATTGTCAAAGTATCATTATCCTATTCTAAATAAGGTGAAATAAATTTATCCATGTATGAGTACATCTTGGTCCTCAAATGAAGATATATTCAACCTAAACATTTTCTATCATAACAAAATCATATCAATCCACACCATTAACTTTCATAAAATATGTTTAAATTAATAAAAAGACTAAAACGCAACCACATGACTAGGTCCATCTAGATAAAAGGACTCATAACTATAATATAAGTAGTACAGTACACAAAATAAATTAATTATATTTATTTATTATTTTATTTATTATCATCTAAGCACACTTGACTTAATTGAGTATTGCCGGCACACCCCTCATTCAACTTGGAGATGATAAATATTCAGACATCCCAGTCTAAAAATATGAAGTTAGAGCTATGAGTGTTGGAGTTGATTTGACCAAAACTTAATTTTTTAAAACAAAAAGATTTAAAAAAATTCAAATTAATTTTTAATTGTTTTCATCAAATAAATATTATATTAACATTGGTGTAGTTAATAAAATATAAAATATTTAAAAAAAATAAAACTAACATTAGCTTAACAGCCACTAATTAAAATAAATATAAATAATATATAAGTTAGCATCGACTCACGACCACTAGTAAAATAAATAAGTTAGCGTAGGTTTAAAACCACTGACTAAAATAAATAAGTTATAATCAACTTAGTAGACACTAACTAAAATAAGTTTTCATCTCCTTTATTAATATTTTCGTTCATATTTATTTTCTTCGTCTATTCTCGTTTCTTTTATCTACACTCACATCCTTTATCCATTATAATTTTCTTTTTCTATTCTTTCATTTATATTTTTTTGAACATTGTACGTTTTTTTATTATTATTATTATTATTGTTAATGTCAATTAAACCAATACACATTATATCAACATTAAAAGTAGATTTTATTGGTCAATTTATTATGAAAATTTGCCAATTTATATATTCATAATTTATTATGAATTTTTTTTTTCATGAGTATACTCATTCTCCAAACCCATATGTATTGATTTTTTTTTTATTTAGATTTCTAAATTAATTATATAACTCCTAGGGTAGGTGTAAACTTTTTGGATTGTGCTCGACGTTCAAAAATAAATTCTTATGAACCATTCCAAGTCAAGACCATTTCAAAACGTTTGGTTAGCAGTCCATAAATCATCCTATCGAATGCAAACAAATATATAAGACAAGAGAATTGCGAAATATAGCTTTCTCAAACATAGAATCTGTCGTGTTGCCTACCATGAAAAGTTTCCACAACTTCAAAACTTGTCTTCTTTTCTACATCTTCCTCGTTCTTCCAATAACCGTAGCTCAACCACTCTCCTTCAACGTAACTAACTTCAACGATACTCAAACTGCAAGCCTTGTTGGATACGCTGGTGTGGCCAAGAGTGAAAACAGAAGCATAGTGCTAAATTCTCTCATCGACAATGGAATTGGAAGAGCCATCTATGGCCTCCCTCTACGCTTCAAAAACTCTTCTAACCGACATGTCACTGATTTTTCTACTCGTTTTTCATTCACTATCGATGTGTCCTCCAAAACCGACTACGGTGACGGTTTTGCCTTCTACGTCGCACCCCTTGCCTACCCGATTCCGTCGGATTCAGGTGGCGGCGGCCTCGGCCTTTACGGTGCCAACCAGGATAGCATCATTGCTGTTGAATTTGACACTTTCCCAAATGCTAATGTTGATCCACAAATGAGGCATGTGGGGATAAACAATAATTCTATGGTGTCTCTCAATTCTTCCTTTTTTGATATTGAGAGCAACATAGGGAACATGGGGCATGCGTTGATAACTTACAATTCTTCTGCCAAACTCCTTGCTGTTTCATGGTTCTTTGAGGGAACCAGTTCTGGTTTTATGCCTAACACTTCTCTTTCGTACCAGATTGACCTGGGGGAAATTCTCCCGGAGTGGGTCACTGTTGGGTTTTCGGGTGCAACCGGGGCGTCTAATGAGGAGAATGTTATTCATTCTTGGGAATTCACGTCAACTCTGAATTCCACACCGTTAAACAATAAAGAAAAAGATGGCAATAATGACATCATAGTTAAATACAAGTTTTCAGTCCAAGTAGTAGCTGTTGCAGTGAGTTGTTCTGTTTTGTTTATGCTCGTGGTTGCTGCAGTTTCTTGTTTTATCATCATCAAGAAGAGAAGAAGCGAAGATGGTTTTGGTTTCAATGGAGCAGCTATGCCCAGAAGGTTTGGTTATAAAGAGTTAGTTGCAGCCACCAACGGGTTTGCAGATGATAGAAGGCTGGGAGAAGGAGGCACTGGACAAGTTTACAAAGGGTTTCTGAGTGATCTAGGGAGTGTGGTTGCAGTGAAAAGGATATTTTCTGATGTTGAAGATTCGGAGAGAATATTCACAAACGAGGTGAAGATTATAAGTCGTCTTGTGCATAAAAACCTGGTGCAATTGATGGGGTGGTGCAATGAGGAAGGAGAGTTGTTACTGGTTTTTGAGTACATGAGTAATGGAAGCCTTGACACTCATATATTTGGCAACAGGAGAACCTTGACATGGAGTGTGAGATACAATATAGCGTTAGGTGTGGCTAGGGCACTGTGTTATCTTCATGAAGAGGTGGAGCAGTGTGTTCTTCATAGAGACATAAAGTCAAGTAATGTTTTGTTAGACACAGATTTCAACACTAAGGTTAGTGACTTTGGGATAGCAAAGCTGGTGGATCCAAGGTTGAGGACTCAGAAGACAAGGGTGGTGGGGACATATGGGTACCTTGCACCTGAATATGTGAATGAAGGAAGGGCTAGCAAGGAGTCTGACATGTATGGTTTTGGGGTTGTGGCTTTGGAGATAGGTTGTGGAAGGAGGACTTACCAGGATGGAGAGTATAACCATGTGCCATTGACAAATTGGGTGTGGAAAAAGTATGTGGATGGAGATATTTTGGATGCTGTGGATGAGGGATTGAAGGGAGATTATGATGTGGAAGAAATGAGATGTTTGCTCACTGTTGGAATATGGTGTACTCACCCAGATCACAGGCAAAGGCCAAAGGCAGAACAGGTTATTAATGCTCTAAAGCAAGAGACGCCATTGCCAATGCTTTCACTATAACTTCACACACCAGTGGCCTATCTGATTTTGTTTTAGTTGCACTCATCAACAGCATCCAATGTATATCAGAAGATAGGATGTACCAAGATTTGGTCTAGTTTTGTCTTTGTGTCTGTCATTTGTATTTTATATGCTTGTATGTGTTTTTATAGAAATGAATATAAATATATTAGAGACTTATGATCTTACCAAATAGAGACTATAGAGAATAAAAGAAAAACTACTACTTACCAATTTTCCTGCAATGACACATTAGTTTTGGTAAAGCAAAAGTCAAAATTTCCTTCTCAGAGAATGGATTCTGACCATAAACAATGAATCATCTTATCCATATAAATATTTGTGAATTATATTATATTGAGGTAAACTATTCTAGTCCTAAGCTAGTTGGGGGGAAAAATCTCCTATTGGCCCATCTTGTGATGGGCAAATCAATCTTGTCCATCTTTTAGGTTACATAACTTGTTGGGACCAATACCATAGCTTTCTTCCTGCACCCTCATAAAAAGTTTTTTTTTTTAATTTTACCATTTCTAGGAAATGAAAAATAATTTTTAAATTATATAACTATTTTTGAATTATACCATCCAAAACCGAAAATAACTCTCGGACTATACAATTTGCAAGTCTGGTGATTTTTAAATTTTCAAATTATGCAATCCAAAAGTTAAAATCAAGTCCTTTTTGAGTTTTGAATTATATAATCCAAAGTCTTTCAATCTTTCATATTGTCGAAAACTGTTTGACTTCTAAATTATATAATTCAGCCATCTTTTTAGATTTTATAATTTAAAAGTTATTTTTTACTTTTGGATTGTACATCCCTAAACTCTTGGATTACACAATCCAAAAAAATAAAAATAAAAACTTCTAAATTGTTGTACAATCGATAAAATGGGGAAAAAAATATGACATTGCAGGAAGAAAGTTATAAAGGTGCAAGAAGAACATTGTTGGCAGCAGCATTAATTCTGGCTAATTATCAGGATAGGCAATTTTGAGTAAGAAAGTGAAAGAAATAATGAAGAGAGTCTTCTCCCTTCAGGTTTAGAGGATGATGAAATCAATATTGGGAGATCAATGGAAGTGATACAGCATAAATTATTTAAAAAACAGTGAAACACCTTACTATTTCTACACATCTCGTTTTTTTTTTTTCTTTTTTTTAACCAATCCATTCTACTCAAAATATTCATATCTTATTCAAGTAGAAATTCTCTTCTACAAAAGTAAATAACTGAATAGTTGCAGTTGCTACCTCCCATTTATGAGCATAGCATCTACCACAACAGAAGAAATTAGCCATGTGGAATATGAACTCTCAAAACTAGCATTTCATACGACATCGTGAATTATAGTGTATTTAGAGGTTACTCAACAGTGCAACTTACTGGTTGACAATACAACAAGATGAAGGTATTTTAAAAAGACAAATCCTCAGACAATTGAAGGTAGAGCAACCATGCCCACTACAATCATTTGTGTTTATAAAACTTCAGCAGTAGCATCTGTCGAATTATAATTACGTGCCAGCATTTGCAGTATTCGGTATTCATATTACATAGCCAGCGAGGTATAGCCACACAACAGCAGGTTCAACCCTTTGCGATTTTTTACATTGAATTGCCAAAAGTTAGGGGATTAATCAATGTGCCAATTTCTTCAAATGCTGGAAGGTTTTTTGCTTAATCCACTGTCGATCATGCGGCAAGTAAGCATGAATGGAACTATCATACCTATGCAGCAGAATCAAAACGTCATATTAATTAATGCCAAGCCAAGCCACATGCAGAGAAGACCCAATATTTAAAAAACAACAACTATATGCATAGGACAATTGAAATATCCTGTCACAAGAGACCACTTATCTTTCGTAACTTTTTTCCGAGGGTCAAAACATGTTAAGAGCAAACATATGATACAACGATTTCCATGATTTATTAAGTTCTTACCAACCCTCAAGGCTGATGGGAGGTGGAAGGGGAAGAAGAAGTGTTCAAATCATATTGTTTCCTCCAACAATGTTATCAAGGATATAAGACCTCCAAAAAAATATTAAAAATTTATTTGTGGCCGCTTATTTCATCTATAAGAGCACAAGCTACTCTATTAAGACTCATAAGTGCTACCAATTTATCACCCCATAATCTCAATTTTCATTTGACTTGTCAATTCTCTACATCAGTTAAACCGACATACAGAAATATTATCGGAGCTGTAAAACTACGTCACCGAATGCCTTTCTAATAAAATCTGACTGAATTAATGAACTTTGCACGCACTTGACTTTTGAGTGAGAGAAAGAGAAACATACACTAGGGCGCTCATGTCCGCAAGACCATCTATGAAGTTGTAGAGATCAGCAATATCATAAGAGAGATTTCTGATGGCCGGATTTAACTCCTTCAGTTTCCTTTCATACAATGCACATATGCCTGTACAAGCACAATATTAAAACTGTATTTAGTGCTAAAAAAGTATACAGAAAATAAAAAATAAAAATAGAATGTATCTAAAAAAAATATACCAGCTTGTACCCAAAAAGAAAAGCAATTATTTTCATAGAAAGCATCAGTTACCTATCCATAACCTTTCTAGCATGCTATACTTCTATGTTAGTGAAGACTCTTCCCACTATTTTTCATGTATTCATCTACATTTGATAAGTTATGGGCATTTCTTTAAAAAGCCAAAAGAATGTGACACCTTTTCTACGAAATGGAATTCAGATCAAAGAATATTTTTAGAATATTCATATTCATTTCAACACAAGCTTGTTTTCTTATTTAAAAGAATTTGATTAATAAAAAAAGAGGTGATGAGAATTTAATTGGTGTGATTCTTATCACTAAAATAATTCTTTATTTTCATGCATAGTTTAAGTTGGTACCAAAACTCCCCATCTAGGGAGCTTTTTCTCACTGCCACATAAAGATCTGTCACCATTGTTAAGGCCAGTGGTGGGTGAGAAAGATGTGCCCCATGTCAGTAATCACAATGCCAACAGTCGCATCATAATCATATTGGGATAAGTTGCATTTACTGCTAGATAACTCATCAATAGGTTACCCATGTCTTATATGACATTGGACCTATTGAGTCTCTATTGTCTTTTGTTGCTTCTTCTACACTAGTTTCAAGTCTACCTTGTTGAGTATTTGGATATTTTGCTTTTGTTGACTCTAGTCCTACTGAACCTCAAAAATTGGCATGTAAGGTGATTTTACACCCACTTGCGTACTATATTTTGGTGAAATCTTCAGTCGATGTAGGATCTCTTATGACAAAAATCTCAAACATGAGACTACATATTTGTAGATAGTTTGATAGCAAATGACATGATAGGTTTGAATAACCTCACTAAGATAGACTCTAATATCATTTCAGAAAGTAAAATTTAAACCTAACTCAATTTCAAAAAACAATTTGTAAGGTGAGGATCGCAATCATTTATATACTAAAGTTTATTCATATCTGTAATTGGCGTAGAATCTTCAACACTAAATCATCATGTCTCTACCTCCATGGATGTCAACTTTCATCAAAACAGAATCCATTTTTTTCAACCATGTTATTCAAGGGAGAAAGCATTTGAAGCAAAGAAGCTCTCCTTCCTATCATTACCACAACTATCTTTGCAAGATGTTCAAGATATAAGTGATGAAGCCACAAAAAATTGGATTGAACCAACCATAATGAGGAAGAAGAAGACAATTTTTTCGACAAAGAATATCAAAGAAGGAAACAGTCCTCTTTGACTCCAGGTCAATAAGAGTTGTCTAACTCAAAAGGTGAAGATCCCTTTAGATAACAATGAGAAGATAAGTGTTATTAGAATTTATCAATTACATTGAGAAAGGGAAATGGATCATGTATTAAACATCCTATTTCTCAATATGTATGCATTGACAATCTATCTTATAAAAATCAAAGTTTTATTGTTGCTATTGATGTTACAAAAACTCCCACCTCAATCCAACAAACCATGAAAAATGAACAAGGGACTCATACCATGAGAGAGGAGATGAGTGAATTAAAAAGAAAATCAACATGAGATATTGTTGACAAACCAAGAGACGAAATAGTTGTGGGGTCCAAGAAGCCATGAAAATTGAATGAGAGAAGATGAATATGTTAGAAAGAAACTCAACATGGGAGATTGTTGATAAACCAAGAGACAAAAAGGGTTATGGGGTCCAATAAGCCATGATAGTGAACATTGAACTCATGTCATGACAGAGGATATTAATGCATTAGAAAGAATCTCAACATGGGAGATTGTAGACAAACCAAGAGATAATCGGTTAAAGAGTGCAGATGGATATTTACAATAAAATACAAACGACAGACAACTATAAAGCCAAATTGGTTGCAAAGGGATATACTCAAGCTTATGGAATTGGTTGTGTGGGACATCTTCTCTAGTAGCAAAGACAAATACAGTTTAAGTTGTTCTTGCTTTAGCAGCTTATTTTGGTTGGAAGTTCTAGCACTTGGTCGTGAATAATGTCTTCCTTCATGAAGCTTTAGAGGAAGAAATGCACACGGAGATCCCTCAATGACTTGAAACCATAGTGGAAGGAATAATGTATGTCTGATCTTCTATGGTCTAAAACAATCTCCAAAAGCATGGTTTGGAAGACTTACAAAAGCAATGGTTTCCTTTGGATACAAACAAAGTCAAGGAGATCATACTTTATTCATAAAACACTCTCTTATAGGTAAAATCGCTATATTGTTGGAATATGTGGATGATATAACTATAGTGAGAGATGAATAAAAAATTTGTTTTTTAAGGAAAAATTGGTGCATTAATTTGAAATGAAAGATCTAGTTGAAATAGACGTTCCTTATTCCAAAAAAGGAGACTTTCATTTCCCCAAAGAAAATATGCACTTGATCTCCTCAAAGAAACAACTAAGTTGAGATGTAAACCTTGTTCTTATTGAATATAATCAAAAGTCGAAAGTTCTCTAGAGAAAAATCCAGTCTTAGAGATTGGTTAAAGAAAAACTTATTTCTCTATCACAAAGAAGAAGACACATGCAAGCAATTGACAAAATTCTTCAATACTTGAAGTAAAGCTCAGGAAAGGGGTTGTTTTTCAAGGTAAAAGACACTTTGACCTTGAAATTATATATTGATCTAGACTATAAGGCTCTTCTATTAAAAGAAAATCTACCTTTGGGTACCATGTATTTCTTTGAAAAAGTCTGGTAACTAAGAAAACCAAAAGAAAAAAGAATAGAGTATCTCATTCTAGTGTAGAAGTCAAATCTGAATCCTTGCTCAAAGGTATGTGAAGGACTTTGGATGAAAATCATACTCAAGGACCTTAAAATAAAGGTTGACATCCCCATGCAGTTGGACTATGATAACAAGTCAGTCATGAGCATTGCCCATAATCCAATCAACATGATATGACCAAAAACATATTAATAGTTACATCAAAGATAATCTTGACAAAGGACGTGTGATCACAACTCATGCCCATGCAGGACTTTGGATTCAAAACATTTTCACTAAATAACTTCCTCATAACAGATTCCAAAATCTTGTAAGCAAATTAGGAATGATTGATATTTATTTACCAACTTGAAGGAAAGTTCATTGAATAACTTATTATTAAGGATAAAAATATCCTTAATATCTCCATAGTGATTAGAAAAAATATATTTAGAATCTTCGTACTCATTTCAACATATTTTTCTTTCCTTATTTTAAAGAATTTGATCATTACAAAAAAAGTTGATGAGAATGTAATTAGTATAACTGTTATAAATAAAAGAATTATCTATTTTCTTACATAGTTCAAGTAGTATACTTGATAGAGATTCTAGCCTTAAACAAATTGGGGAGAGGCCTAAACAGTTTCAACTTCATGGCCTTTGGAAGGCAATTATTGATTGGGCCACAGTCCATGCTCAACAAAAGGCACCCAAAAATTATGGATTTCCAAGGCTAGATGAGACTTCACCAAATAGTCCAACAAAACATCAGATACTTTTAACACTGAGAAAACCAAGGATCTAAATTTATTTATTCTATAAGAACAAACAATATTTAATCCCAATATATTAAATTCTTCTCACCTCCTGAAAAATATTAAAAGGAAAAAGGAAAAAGGAAAGGAAATACTGTCAATGACTTAATTATACAAGTATGACATTTTGTTTTCATGTTACCAGTCAAACACCATTCATTTAAGAAACAAATGGGCTAGGATTTTAATAATGGGTCAGCATTAGGTTTAATTTAAAGCAGCTGACTGAGGATAATTTATGTAGTTATGGGAAGGAGTATTTCCAAGTACAAAAGATAGAAAAGGGTTAAAGGGTTAGAATTTTGGTTCTTGTCTGGGTGCTAAGAACAATGCTTGCATTCGATGGGTTCTAAATCAAACTCAAGTTAGAATTTTAAAGGGATGAGTACAAATTACTGTTTGTAAAGGTAAAAAAATTTCATAAGAGTATAAAACTAAGACAGGTTAAAAGGAGTAACCTAGACATCATACCCAAGGAGTTACTGTTCTTTGTCTATGATCATCAGTATTACAATAGGATTTCGGAGGTCTTCAAAAATTTAGAAATACTTCGTAAAACAACAAATAAGAATATAAGGCATCTAATCCACAGAAAACAAATTGGAACCCAACAACAGTCAGACCCTTGTCTTCCCAAAGAAAATAAATATTTTGAATACAACTAATTTCACGTAAAATGATATCAAACAATCCTAAAAGATTAAACAAATTTGTGGAAGAATACATCAAATTCAAAATTGAAAGTAAACAAAAATACAAAGATAAATTCATCTTGTAGAGTTTTTTTTCCAAAACAAGTGTGCCTTGCATACATATCCCATCCAGAATATAATAACCCAAGGAAAAAAAAAACAGGGAGAAATGTTACACAAACCAACCATCACGATAATCTTATGGTTAATCATTGCTGTAGACAAACTGTTAACCTCTAAATCTTTATTTCTGGTTTTTCTAATAGTTTTTCTCTACATCCCCATCCTTCCAACAACACAGATACACTCCATCTAATCTACTCTTTTTGAAAACTAGAAATTAAAACATCAAAAATAATTTACAAATGACAGAATCATACACTAAAATCTAAGAAAACATCAAAAAACCTAAAAAGGAATTTGATTTTGGGTATTTGACATTGTACTATAAGTGAAAAAGAATGTGAATCTGAAATTTTAAACAACAGAAAACTAAACCCAGAAATTTTGAAGTAACAGAAGACAGAATAAAAAATGAATAACAAGAACAATCACACTATATATAAATTTATTTCAGCTACCAGAAGAATATCAATTCATTTTATCTTTCTATTTTCTTCTACTTTCCACGTGCATAAGAGGACCTTAGCAGGGGCGAGTAAGAAGTCTACCAGACATGGACTCCAGACAGACTACAAAAAACATTGGACACCAACATAAACTGAATTTAATTTAACAAAACAACTTAAGAATAAAACCTAACACCGAATTACACTCTTTTATTTTCAATTGAGGAAATTACATTCCCACACAAATTCATATAAACAAGGCACAACACAAACATCTATCTAAAGTTAAGTTAACCAAATACAAAATCAAGAAACAAAAAGGCGGAAAAATGAAAAATCGACAGTAAAAGTACACAGCTACAGTGCATGCAAGTATTACTTAAATCAATACCATCCATAGCCTGAGTGATGGATTCATAATCCATGAACGTCCTTGTTGCTCTATTCTGCGATGTCTGCATTAGAATAATGGTGTGCCGATTAGCCTGCAAAATTCACGAAAACAAAAGCACCTGTGAGTGAATAAATCGAGTGAAACAGAAAATCGCGTGAACATCACATAATCGGTTAGCGCAAAGAGGAATTGCCCTAATAGTTTGAGAAAAGGGAATAGGTAGGGTTAAGGAAAACCTTACCATAGGAAGAAGAAGAGATTGAAACTGGAAACAATTCTCTCACTCTTTTATGAGAGAGTTTGCGTTTTGTGACCACGCAGTGCTATTGGAAAACTCAAATTTGCACTTCCTTCCAGAATATGCTGAGTCAGTCAACTTCAACTCCCACGCTTTGGGCAATTTCGACATTTCACGGGTATCCGTGTTAGCCTCCTTTATTGAAAAGTGAAATTTCAATGAGGAACATGATAAAAGATAATGCAATTTTTTTTAACTGTTATGAGTTTTATTTTTCTATTTAAATATTTTTATCTATGATTTTATATTTTGTGAAATTTATTGAATAGTAAAATTAAAATATTCCTAAGATGTTCCACTGATTGATGACATGATTTATAAAGGATAATTTGTTTTTATTTTATATATACACTTGTGTAATTTGTATTAAGTCTTTTTTTAATTAGATAAATTTATTGCTAGGCATGGATAATTATTAAAAAAATTTATTATAAATTTTTTAATTTTTTATTTATATAGATTAGTATTGATGTAATATATAGTTTTCAAATACCAAAACATTATGATATAAAATTTTAACTTTTATATAAATATGAATTTATTTTTATAGAAATTATTAATAATATAATATTCTATAAAACATTATACATCTAATTTGTATTTATCCTTTTATATATATATATATATATATATATATATATATATATATATATATATATATATATATAGTGTATATATTTGTGTATATATATAATATTTTACAGTAAAA